TGATGATCAAAGAGAATATTCCAAATTCTTTGTATCTGAATTCTTTAGAATTTCTACTTTCTTCTTTGACAATGGTTACAACTAAGTCAATTACAGATTCTCTAGCCTCCTATCACATCTTTAATTCCATCAATTTCAAGCTCTGTCACGTTATAAAGTGAGTTCAGGACACTGTTATAAATCCCATTGGGCTCGAGTCCTTGCCTCTCGGGCACTTCTTCTACAAACTTACAAAGTAAGAGCCAAGCTTTCGAAAAGGAAAAAGGATTGCAGTAATGGCTACCAACTAAATCGATATTGCTGAGAAGGCTGTATTAGAGCTATAATTAAAAGGGAATGACTAGGGGTGCAAAGAAAATGTAAAGAAAGCAATAGAGCTTTTTAAGTGTTTTTCTAAGTGTTGAGTTGAGTGTCATTTTCTTTGTGTTCTCATGTAGCTTTTATAGAAGCTTCATCCTTCTGGGTCAAACCCCCTTGGCTTAATATGATAGGCAAGTGGTGATTTCACACTTAACTCTCTCCAAATTACTGGGGTTTTACCGCTAAAAATGTGTTTTTGCCATATGCGAAACATTTTGTTAATGACCTATATGCCTACCCAATTGCATAGGTTTACTGCCTAATCTTGCCACAGTCATCCAATATCTTGAATTCTGGGTCAAGCTTTCGTCCTCAGCCTTCTTTGCTTCAATGGCCTAAAGCTTTCCTAGGGCTTTAAATGCAATTGGGCCATGCCCAATTTGGGTCTAAACAGGTATCTTCACCGATCCTTCATTCTTATGCTCTCGCTTGACGATCAAAGAGAATATTCCAAATTCTTTGTATCTGAATTCTTTAGAATTTCTACTTTCTTCTATGACAATGGTTACAACTAAGTCAATTACAGATTCTCTAGTCTCTTATCACATCTATAATTTCATCAATTTCGAGCTCTATTACGTTATAAAGTGAGTTCAAACACGTTATAAATCTTGTAGGGCTCAGGGTCCCTGCCTCTCGGGCACTTCTTTAACAAACTTATAAAGAAAGAGCCAATCTTCGAAAGGAAAAGGGATTGCAGTAATGGCTACCAACTAAATCGATATTGCGAGAATGATGCATCAAAGCTATAACTAAAAGGGAATGACTAGGGGTGCAAAGAGAATGTAAAGAAAATAATAGAGCTTTTAGTATTTTTCTGAGAGTTAAGTTGAGTGTCATTTTCTTTGTGTTCTCTTGTAGCTTTTATAGAAGCTTTATCCTTCTTGGTTAAATCCCCTTGGATTACTATGACAGGCAAGTGGTGATTTCACACTTAACTCTCTCCAAATTACGGGGTTTTACCCCTAAAAATGTGCTTTTCCATATGCGAAACCTTTGGTTAATGACCCTATGCATACCCAGTTGCATAGGTTTACCGTCCAATCTTGCCACGTTAGCCAATATCTTGAATTCTGGGCTGAGCTTCCGTCTTCAGCCTTTTTTCCTTCAATGGCCTAAAGCTTTCCTAGGGCTTTAAATGCGATTAGGCCATGCCCAATTTGGGTCTAAATAGGAATCTTCACCAATCCTTCATTTTTATGCTTTCTCATGCTGATCAAAGAGAATATTCCAAATTCTTCATATCCGAATTCTCTAGAATTTCTACTTTCTTCTTTGACAATGGTTACAGCTAAGTTAATTACAGATTCTCTAGTCTCCTATCACATCTCTAATTCCATTAATTTCGAGCTCTATCACGGTCAAGCTTGATGAATCAAACTATTTGACATGGCACTTTCAGATAGATGCACATGGTTCTTGAAGGAAATGGGGTTGTTGGATTTGTTAATGGTTTCAGTCCTTGCCTCGCCAAGGTTTCATTAGGTCACTTGATTCTTCAAAACTCATTTTTCCTTTCTCTGTCTGGCATATATTAGCATCACCACATCCCACAACCACCTTAGATCCCATTTGCCACAACTTACACATCCATTCTAAACCCCAACCATGAACCACCATACCTTATTTTTACCACAATGATGCACAATGTCCACTGCGTCAATTCTGAAGAACGCAGATTGAAAAATTCAGAAACTTGAACTTCTTGGATCTCAGATAGAATCTTTTTCTTTATGAAATTTACTTTGAGCGTCTTGTCCAACTTATGGGTAGGTGTCGCGCATTGTGGTTCATGGTTAGGTCTGTGGTGGTTTTTTCCACTGCAACAAGACACAGAGAAAGACAAAATAGAAACAAGGTGAGAGGGACAAAAAACAAAAGTCAAGACTAAGGTGGGCCATGTTTTCACTTGCAAATGCGATGAGGTTGTGGCCTCTATGTGGCATCTCTAATCTATTGCCACATGTCCACTCTTTTAACACAACTTAACATTGTCAACTTATCTCCTAACTTTTCTTTAAAAAAAAAAAAAAGAAGAAGACATTTCTTCTTGTTGTGTAGCACATGTTAGCAGTCCCACATCGGTGGGGGTAAATAAAAGCAATAACTTTAAATAGGATTACCTCACTCTAACTAATACCGAGGACTTTGTGGTTAAAACTTCACACCTGACGGATTGGGCAAGTGGTAGAGTTGGGGACAGTATCAGTGTAGTTAGAGTGGGACCCCCGGGCCCGTCAATCTAAAAAAAAATCAACATGGTATCAAAACCCACAGTTACGGGCCCGTGCAAGCCAAAGGTTTGTCACCAAGAAGTGTGGGCTTGGAAACAAGTTTGGACTCTTAACATAGAGCCGGCATCTAAGTTCTAAAAGTTACTTCTAGAAAAGATTGAAAACAAGTATGGACTTTATTAGAGCCGACCTTTGAGTTTCAATTGCTGATGTGTGGATCTCCATGTGTAAACCATTAAATGAGGTTACACATGAGGAGGCGTGTTAGCAGTCCCACATCGGTGGGGGCAAAGAAAAGTAATGACTTTAAATAGGATTACCCCACTCTAACTAATACCAAGGTTTTTGCAGTAAAACTCCACACTTGACCGGATTGGGCATGTGGTAAATTTAGGAACATATCGATTTGGTTAGAGGGGGCTCGTCGATCTAAAAAAAATTTGAACAAATGCTTGGTTGGCGGTGCGAGCCCGGTTCTAGAGGGATTGGGTGGTTGGTGGTTGCCCTGCTGTGATTGGTTAGATGGGGATCATGGGTATTGAATAAGTGTTTGATGTTTTCACATTTAGTTTTTTTCTTTTTTAATTTTGTTGTATCACACTTTTTTAACTTTATTTTGACAACGTTATGTTGGTGTCAAGTGAAAGGACAGGTACCAATAAATTAAAAAAGTCACAAAAAGGTCGCAACTATTTTTAAGTGCGGAAGATTTAAACTCTTTCTTCTTTCACATTCTTATTTTGTTTAGCCATTGTATGAAACTGAATCAATTTTCCCGTCATATTATGTAGCATTATTTTCTGAAATCCTGAGCAATAAAGAGAAGTAAACTTTCTGCTTTGGACACCCTCGATGAGAACAGAAGAAGATTCGAAATTTGGAAGATAATAAAACACAAGGGAAAGTCGGACCTCACAAAAGATTATCTTTTCAGGCCCACATAAGATCTCCTAAATTTTTTATGTGGACCCGACCCCAACCATAAAAGTATTTTCAATTTCATGTCCTGGCCCCACCCCTCAGCCCTCTCTGATTTATTTCGCAAGCTTTCATTATTCCATATTCCATCCCAATTTTCACGCCCACAGAGCATAGTTCATACATAATAGGAGGAGTTTAGCTAATTAAGCTTTCATAATTAGAAGGAACTAGTCACTTACTACTACGATCTTGTGTTATTCTTTGTCATTTGTAAGTGAGAGGTTTTAGGTTCGATTCTAGCCAAAGATAAATTTGAACGGCATTATTGCTAGCCTATTGTGAGGCTAAGCTCACCCCCTCCCCTCTTAGTGTAGATTTCATTTGTTCAGGAAAAAAAAATAAAAATTTAATAGGGTAGATAATCGTGTTTAGGGTTAGGGTTTGGTTGAATATTTCCATCCTCCATCTATTTTAGTATTTTGTCGTCCCTTAATCCTTAGATACGTATTTCAATAATGTACAATTTTATACTAATATTTAAGGTCTGATGTTATGCAATCTCTTTTGACCTTAAACTTGAGTTTCAAGTATGGTGACACATCAAACTAATCCGATTTAAGGATTCAGATCTTCTCCATGATCCTACCAAATAATTTGGCAGGCTATAGCTTTCTGTTTATTATTAGATCGACAGTGTACCAACATGTCTATTTAACAATATATACATTTTCTAAATAATAAGATAGTTACATTAAATTTACATAAATCACGGAAAAAAGATTCGAACATAAATGCAAAGAATTGACTATACTTATTTATATACACCAGATTCTAAAGCCCACGCACTTGATCATATACATTCCGTGAATCACGTCCTATTTTTCCTAAACAAAATAGCTAGGCAGGCATACAGGGAGGATGATATGTAACTTACTAACTGTTATATGAAAACAAAACACTTTCCAATTTTTTTTCTTGAGTAACCTCGACGTCATAAGAAAGAATTTATTCATGAAAAAGAAACATGAAGAGAATTTGGCCTTAATTACATCTACTATCCAAAACAGCGTTATGAATAATATTATACGACTACTCAAACAGTTCCAAACACTTTCCATAAATTTTTAATTAGGAAGAAGAAAGAAAAGGAGAGACCCAAATATAGAAACTTAGCAAGCAAAGCTAAGCTAACCACATTTGTCTTAAGTCCCTAATATAATCCAATCCAATTTGCACCCAAAATCAACTCCATTTCATCATTATCTTGACCAAATGGGAAAAAGGACCTCCGGATTTCCCTTGGCAATCAAACAAAATCTTAACAAAGAAAATAAAGAAGATCTCAGAGAGAGAAAGAGAGAGAGATATGAGTGGTTGTACCAACGCGGTGGAGAGAATCTAGTGAGAGATCACAACAAAGAGTAGTACATATGCATGACACATGACAATATCAACGACATCTCTCTCTCTCTCTCTCTCTCTCTCTCTCTTTCAAAAACAGGTTTGGTTGCTTCTCTCCTCATCTGATATATAAACCCACCTACTTACTTAGTACACCTTGCACCCATGGAATAATCACACACCACCTCGCATTCCTTCATTCATTCATTTCCCCTAAGGCACGCCTCTCTCTCTCTCTCTCTCTCTCTCTCTCTCTCTAAGAAATATAAAGGTCCACATTGGTAGAAAGAATATACAGAAGCAGCAGCAGAAATAGCTAACAGAGATTATACTGTGTTCACCAGGCACCATTAAACTTCAATAGTGTAAATTTTGATGTCGTCAGTTTGTCTGAAAATGGAGGTGGTGGTGAAGTCAGATGTTGCAGACCCCAAACAACAACAACAGCAGCTGCTGCAGAACCAACATTTCCATGTATTGGCTGTAGATGACAGCCTTTTGGACAGGAAACTCCTGGAGAGGCTCCTTAGAGGTTCTTCATATGAAGGTACACCACCCCTATATTTGAAGATAGATTCATTAATTAATTAATACAGACTTGACTCTCGAGCGTAGCTATGTTGATTAGAACAATATATTCTTTTTCCACGCCCAAATTCGAATGCCCTTCCCATAATATAGATAAATTAGTAGAATATTTGATTCGTATAAAAAAAATATTTAATTAATTGATTAATGACCTTCCTCTCAACACTCACATTTTTTTGGCTTCTTAGTTTTATATTTCTTTTAGTTTTAAATATAACAATAAACATACACACACACGCACGCACGCACACACATATACATATAGATAGAACATTGCATGTTAATAATATGGTGTTTTTTCTCTTCAAAATTGTCATGATTTTTTTTTTATTGCCGAACTTTTCTTGGATGAACTTGCATCAAACCTTTCCCTTGTTTGAACTTGCTTTCTGATAGTCTTAAAATATTTTAATTAACAGTGACTTGTGTGGATTCTGGGGATGAAGCACTAAAATATCTGGGTTTGCTTGAAGACCTAAACCGAAGTACTGCAACTTCCTCTTCATCCAGCTCCCCTCAGTCATCAGATGTACCAGAGGTGAGATTTCATGATTATCCTTCGACACATAACAAAAATATATATTACTAGTACATTTTCCGGAATTTAGGTAAGTTGCAACTTATACGAGTGGAATATCACGTACAGGAACATATAAATCTCTACTCCCAGGAATGTCTGAGAAAATCCTTGGGAAAAATATCTGATACTTCCCTCGGTAAAAACTTAAACCTTCCGGCTAGAAACGTACTTGAAATTGATTTCATTTTTATCTGATAATCCATCTATAGTACTGAATTTTGTGCGTTCGAGCTTTTGAAATTGATCCTCAAAGTGGTAAGGATAGTAGAGTAACGAGTTAAAATTAGGTTAGGTCAAAGAGTTCGATTATGTCCGACGGTAAACAACACATATTAAAGAAGAATTTACTAGTCCTAAAATTAAATAGAATTAATTTAGGTTTTAGTATTAATTAAAGCTTAGCATGCATGTTCTTAAGTTTTATGCTAATTAGGTTTTTCTGTGGAGAAGATGATTACTAATTCATTTCTGAATTGAATCGAATGCAGGGATCAAAAGCCATCAACTTGATCATGACGGACTTCTGTATGCCCGGAATGAGCGGCTATGATTTGCTGAAACGCGTCAAGGTCAACCACCACAACTGACTGACTAATTACCCTACTACTTCTCCTACTGTTTTGAAACCACTTGCAACATACTCACAATCCTCTTAGTCTATTTGTGTGGTGTACCTCACTACTCATTGAATTTTAACGATTTCATTTGTTTATTTTGTTTTCACAATTAAAATTGTTACTTTATAGATCATTAATCAATCTTAATTCTTATATAATCCGTGATCGTAGTACAATTTAAACCATGTACAAAAAAGTAGATAATTTTTTAGATAAGTGATACAATATGATCTATTCTAGCCGTCAAACAGAATTAGCACTATAAATTATCTGGCGGGTTGTGAGCATGCCAATATCCTAGTCCTAACATTTCTTGAAATTTGTATAGTATTTACTTATTAATTAATTGATATCTGTATACATACAGGGATCTTCTTGGAAGGACGTACCAGTCGTGGTCATGTCATCAGAAAATGTTCCTTCAAGAATCAGCATGTGAGCTAATTGCTTTAATTATTTTCTTTTTCTAGTTCGAAATTATTTTCCATTCCTCCTTTATATATAAAAGGTATTTGTCGGTTTGTTTCTTAAATTTGTATAGAGGTGTTGATTTCCTCCTTGCACTTTAATTTTAGCTATTTGCTCCTGAACTTTTGTAATTTACCAATTTCCTCCTGAACTTTTAACTTTAGCCGATTACCCCTTTAAATTTTATAAATAACCAATTTCCTGCCCTCCTTAGATTTTAAAATTTTCGTCTAATTTTCATCTATCCAATTTTATTCTTTTTACCCCCATACAACTATCATGTATTGTCTGCATAATCAAAATGGATACAAAATTGAATAAATGTTTTAAAATCTAGCGTTATGGGGGGAAAATTGGTTATTTATAAAAATTCAGAAGGTAATCTGCTAAAGTTAAAGTTTAAAGGGAAATTGACTAATTATAAAAGTTCAAGAAAGTAATCGGCTAAAATTAAAATTCAGAAAGAAATCGACAATAACTCTATACAAGTTTAGAGAGCAAATAGACAAATATACCTATATAATTGTTTTCTTCGAAATTAAGAGAGAGAGAGAGAGAGAGAGAACTCAGAAAATTGCTTGTCGCACGCAACTTGAACAATGTGAGTTGAATATTAATCGCAGGTGCTTGGAAGAAGGGGCAGAGGAGTTTCTGTTGAAGCCACTCCAGTTGTCAGATCTGAAGAAGCTTCGGCCTTACCTGCTCAAATCCCTCCAACATTATTATTCTAACCACAATGAGGCTGGTGGTGAAAATGACCAAAATGACCAAAATGCCCAAACCAAAAGCACTACTGAGATGACTCATGTGAAGGGTACTACCATCAACAGCAATAGTATTAGCAAGAGGAAGGCCCAAACAATATCAGAGAGATCAAGGCCCAAGATGAAGGGATTAGGCGCTCTAGGCCCAAACAATGTCAGAGACATCAAGGCCCAAGGTGTAGGGACTAGGTGTTCCAGGCCCAAACAGTATCAGAGAGATCAAGGCCCAAGATGAAGGGATTACGTGTTCTAGTATAATCAAGATTAATTAGTTTAAATTCAATTTATTACTAGTGGTGGTTGTTGTGGTGAGTATTCTGTACATACAGTAATCACATTTTCATTCTTGTACTGCACACTCTATTTTCCAACCAAAATGTGGTTTCATTTCCGCAGGTGGATTCGATGATCTCGAGTTTCGACCCCCTAAACTCTCGCACATAATGGTCGGGCCCACCTCTTTTAGAGCGCTAGCTAGCGTGTCAATTTTGTGTGTCTAAACAGAAAGCAACCACAAATGACACACAGACGATGGAAAGTTATGGTATAACTGGGATTCAGAGATATAATTAACTTGAGCATTTGTAAAATAAACTCCGTCTGAGGGTTTCTTCTACATTAACAAAACTGCACACTGTAACACTATTGCTATCCCTGAAACTAGTGCACCCGACAACGAAAACACCTCCCACTTTATTCAATTCAAAGGGAAACCGAAAAACGAACATAACAAATAGGAAGGAGGGATACGGGGAGGTACGTCAGACATTGCTTCCTTTTATGCTCTACCGTTCTCAAAGTTCATATCGCGGCCGCCATAACATCCAACTAGTTGCCTCAATGTATCTGTTCTCCTTGTACAGCTGGTTCAGGAAAAGAACAATTTGAGACCACAACCGGACGAGCAACTTCATTGAATTTTTGAAGAATATAACTATGCTTCGGGAGCTTTGTCAAACTGTGTAAACTAAATATGAAAGTTAAAGACGGGATGCAATTACCTATTTAGAGCTCATCTTTTCCGGATTCTTGCTTCTCCGACTCTGCTTGTTTCTCAATTTTGTCCCGGTTCTTTTCAATGAAAGCAATGATGGCTTCCTTAGTTCTATCTTCCTCGTCATACGACAAGACCTTTCCACTCGCCGTCTTGAAGTACAGAGTTGGGTAGTATTTGACATCAAAGTCGCTAGGCACATCATTTGCAGTGGCATCCTGAAAAACGAAAGCAAGAAATGAATAACAATTAAGAAAAAACTCTTCACAAACTAGAAATATCAGCATTTGTAATAAAGGCTGATAAAGCCACAAGCAAGGGTAATAAATCTTACAAATTTTGCAATAACGACATCGGAATCCTTTTCATACGAGGCAGCAACTTCATCCAAAATAGGAGCAAGCTTCTTGCAGTGTCCGCACCAAGGAGCATAAAACTCAAGCAACACTGGATAGTAAACAAAATCATGTTATACGAATTTCTAGCCATACCCCTGAGAGAAACCATGTGAAGACAACAGCCGAAAACATTAAAATATACAGTGAGCAGCTATGTGAATTAAATATGCACCAAGTTTCACGGTGTTGCCCAAACAACCGTCTGCCTTATTCAAATTTATAGTATAGAAAAAAACCTAGATGATCCCCGCATAACACTCAATATATTAAGCAATTTTTATAAGTTTTTCCTGTACATCAAATAGTTTTCCCTTGGTCATAGAATACGGTAAGGTATTTGCACAAAGTGTTTGTTCTGCTTAAGGTAATCGTCACTCAAAACGTGTTAACAAGGTTGACCAATAAAAAGGTGTTAACAAGTAACCAAAGAAGATCAAGTAATCAAAAGATATGCAGAAAAATACTAACAAGAAGAATGACTGAGGAGAAAATGACACTTGACAATATAATGCAACAGTGTCTGTTTACGCACCATTTTTCTCAGACTTGATGTAGTCCTGGATGCTGTCAGCAACGACTACCTTGACAGGCTCATTGTTTTGCTCAGGAATAGGCTCAGACTTCTTGAATGGTGATACTTTCCCATCCTGCAGTTATGTAATTTAGTCAATAAGCATCAACATATATAGCTTTAATCAAACTTCAATGCAATCAGCATATAAAAACAATAATGATGATCATCCCTTGTGGGACAACTGCATCACAAGAAGGCGGCAGAAGCCTTACCTTGTACTCCTTAACCCATGATGTTATGTGATCTGGCTGCAAATTTGGTTTCAAAAACTTTTGGCCACCGGGAGTCTGGATGATGATGAGAGGCACCTGGTCTTCTTTGAGTCCAAAATACTGTTCACAAAAACCAATAGAACATTAACATGGGAAGAAATATACATCATAAAACGAATCTGGGAAGACAAAGACAATTGCAAAGGGTAGTCCAAATGAGAACATTCTGACCTGGAAGGCGCCCTGACTAGCCTCAAGATCTCCAATGAGAAAGCTTATGCCTTCTTTCTTATATTTCTCAGCAACTTCACGATACGTTGATTTAAAAGCATCAGAAGACTCGTCACTGAAGTTCAGAAACAACATAGCCTACCAAGTCCAAAACTCGTGTTAGAAGACTGCATCACATATTTTGGGAAGAAAAAAAAGATTGAGATAAGAGCATTAGGCTACAACAGAACTATGATTAAACACATTGCTCAATAGGACATACCAAAAGAACCATGTGGATAGAACTTGAGTGACCTTCAATGAAATATCTTGATAATGCAAAGTAAAACATATTTTCCCAACACGCATCAATTTAATAATAAATAAATCCAAATCATGTCCGTAGCATATTATATATACCTTCTCATTTGGACTGTTGAAGAATTTGATAACAAAAGGGTGATTGGTTTGGTCATTGTTGAATTCTGTTACAAGTGGCACACTAGCATCTTCAACAAACTTCTCTAGAGCATCCACATGAAAATCCTGCAAGCATGATCACCTCGGAATTAAATATACTGTCCCTAATACGTCAAAAACCAGCATGACAAACTGGATCCAAACAAAACAAATCTAAGCCAAGAAAAATGTCAATACTACCTCAATATCAACAAAAGGTTCATCAAATGGCTTGAACAATCTAACTACGGGTCCAGACACTGATGAATCACCACGAGGAAGGAGCTTGGCATCCAGGGTGTGACCAAATTCATAATCAGAACGCAATTTCTCAGCCAGAGCCGAGAAGTTATTATATGCCTCTCCGGAGAACTCCTTGAACACACCAACCTGCAAACATATTATGCATGAGTAGTTATGCCATTTGATACTCCTCAAAAGATTACATCAAGCTAGGAAACATAAACAGACATAGAACACTTACAACAACAATCTTCTTGTCGCCAACAAGAGTAGTTGCATCGTCAGTAGTCTTGATTTCGACAGAAGGAGGACCGCTTTGTTTCTTCAAATATTCAACAATACCCTCGGCTTCTCGAGGACCCTTGTATTCTTGGATGGTCTTCCCACCATTTCTTAGAATCTTAATTGTGGGGAATCCCTTCACCTCATAATCAGAAGCAAGTCCTTTGTTTGCCTCTTCGTTGGCATCAACCTTTGCTAGAATGACTGGTGGGTCATTTTTACTCAAAATCGACGCAGCTTTTTCATACTATCCAAAATTAAACAAATTAATAATGTCAAAAGAATCAGAAAATACAGGGTTTCTCAATTAAAATGCAAAACTGGTGAGAAATTAACATTCAACAGCTTAATTTCGTACCTCAGGAGCGAGCTTCTTGCAGTGGCCACACCTATAAGAAACATAGACAGCAAAATTAAGACAACAATCTATCAGAAAAGTACCAATTACCCAAAAAAACCAAATCAAAAACCCAAAAGCACATCGGTATCTCATTTCTTCAGCACAGATACGCATTTTCCAAATACATGCTTCTCCGGTATAACTTTCGCAATTATATTCCGAAAATTAAATAATAAAACGCTAAATCGACCATTAAACCACTGCATGCTGATGCAGTAAGCTCTAAATTCACAAGCTTGAACAAGAATTCACACATATAGCATCAATTTTTCAACCGTGATTCCGTGAAATCAAATCCAGAATAATTCCTCACGAATCGCTTAATTAAATATGTTGAAAACATTAATTCAGAAAAATTTCAGATCCAAACACAAATCAAACGAAAAAAGAGCAACGAACATCGATCAGATCATCAAAGGAAACAGAATCAACGGTTAAAAAAAAAAAAAAATGAGCGAGATGCTAATTGCATACCACGGCGCGTAGAACTCGACGACGATGAAGTCGTGCTTGCCTACAGTGTCAGCGAAGTTGGAGCTGTCGAGAGGGAGGACGTACTCCTTCGATTCCGCCTCCTCGGCGCGGATCGCTGTGGAGAACACGGCGAGGAGGAAGAAGAAGCATAGCGAAACCCTAGACGACGACGCCATTTCCGTTTAGCCGTTTTGGTCTATGGAGGTCTCTGAGAGTCGCTCTCTGGCTGGAGACAGAGGGGGATTATATGGGGCGTGGAGAGAGAGAGAGATAACGAGACAAACATGGTAGTCACAGACTCACACGTGACAGTCTCTTGGATATCTTCCTTTTTTACACTCGCGCGGGTGGGATTGTGGTGGGTACTCGCTCTACATGTCGTCGACATTACACGTGGAGGATTATGATTGGTGATTCATTGTCACAGGAATGCTAATTTGGAATTTGTCACGCAAAGATGGCAAGTGAATCGGATTTGGTACGGAAATAAATGGTAAGTTGCAGCCAGGTGTAGTGTAGTGACGATGTTCAACCAATAAATCTCTGCCACGTCAGAGGAAATTTTCCTATGTTTTGGTTTTAATTTATTACCTTTTTATTTTATAACAAACGGTTTGCAGCTACATTATTTTTTAAGAAAATTAATGAAAAGAGCTTCAAAATTTTGAGTTCTAACGATAAAGACAAAATAAAGGGTAAAGTGAATACTAGGATTGACTTTTTAGTGTAAAAATGTGGTTTTTCATTAAAATGAACAGTACTGAGAGTTTTTCGTTAAAATTTCCTTATTTTTTCTTTCAAGACCCCACACAAAACGGCTTCGACTTTGTATTTTTGTATTTAAAAAAGTAAAAAACGGCTTTCTTCATTTGGCAATAAAAGAAAATAGTAATTTGAAACACTTTCCAAAAAAAATCTTAAGAGGGTATATTCAATTGAGATTTTGAAGGATTTTAATTTTTTTAATGAAGCTAAGGTATTCAATCAGGATTAAAGTGATTATCTGAAATTCAATGTGTATTCAATTAGGATTTTAAGATAGTTTATTAAAATTCTTATAAATTCGGGTGGATTCAATTAGAAGTTTAAAAAAGTTTATAACATTCAAAGTGTATTTAGTTAGAAATTGATTTTGAAGAATTTGAAAAAGTTGAGGAATTAAAGAGAATTGGAGTGATTTCGTAGTTATTTTAAGCCTCCATAATTGACACACCCCGACCCAGAAAGTCCACTTGGACCCTGAATCGAGCTGTGCTGGTCGACACTTGGAAGGTGACGAAGCCATAAAATGTGATAATGTATAAAAAGTGAATGAATTTGAATCTAAAAGTGTCTAAATACCAGAGTGTGCTACGAGTGGGAGCGAACCCATTTCACACGCGATGTCAGAGCATAAGTAAGGTACAGTAGTGTGGGTAAGAATCATACCCTAAAAAATATCCATCAATACTAAGATTCGCCACAGATTCTTGTCGATACAAACTCAGCAGCTAAAACCTGGAGGGCACCAAACAGAAGGTGTGAGTAAGCAATAAAACCAAGCTTCCCAAAGTTATTATCTCTCTAAAAGTAATGCCCCTAAATGTAAAACCCGTATCGTTTTCCATAAGACAGTACAACATATATACATATATCCAAACCATACTCAGAAATGACCAAAACCACGATTTGCCGTCAAATCCACCATACATTAATAAGTAGGCCAAATGAACTAAATCAATACAAAGTGATATATCAGTCAGAGTCATCTAAAATGACATGTACAACTTATCCGTATCTCATCAATCATGGCTAGCATATAAGTCGAAGTCACCTATAGTGACCTGTACGACTTATCCATATCTCATCAATCCTGGCTAGCATATAAGTCAGAGTCACCTATAGTGACCTGTACGACTTATCCATATCTCATCAATCCTGGCTAGCCAATAGCTCAATAAGTATACCTGCACACGAGTCGGAACCACCTAAAGTGGTCTGTACGACAGGACTGGGTGTAAATAAATACGCTCAAGTGCTACGATCACGTGAAGACTGGGCGAATAATCGCGGGTCACCTACGAGTCGAAACCACCTAAAGTGGTCTGTACGACAAGACTGTGCACCTACCTTGGATCCAAGGTGAGCGTAAGGTGCGGGAGGTGAACATCATGTGAAGGATTGTGCCCTGGCCACGGGCGGGAGCACTAACACTGGGGTGCAGGTTTATGAGCTCTCAATGCATCTCAATATAACATGTGCAACTCATGGCAACCAGTACGATCGTATCGAAGTTGCCTAACTCATAACTGTAGTCATGCTATAACGCAATCGATTCAACTAGTACCATAAACTCACCTGAACTTACCTGGGTGTCCTGAGTTCACCTTTGCACTTGAAAGCATTCCCAATAATTATATGCAAGTAATATACATATGGATATATCATGATGCAATCTACTACTCAGCCATGTCGTAGCATTTTCAATTATAAACAATATAGTGTGAAGTGTACAATCAATAACGCCCTACTCCCAAGCTACTTATTTTCAGGGATAATTATCCATGACAACCCAATTAACTCTAATTTAACTAACTAATTCACAAAACTAAAACTTGTCTTTACCAATTTCCTTCTCATTACTCAATTTCCCAAGCAAGGCTTTTGTCTCAAATATTTTATGGCTGCATCTAACGTCTCGTTAGACTGCCTACGTACCCTAAACAGGGATCAAGCCATTCGTAGTTCATATAGGTACTTCAAGCATTCACAATAATTATATGAAGGTAATATACCTAATCAATTTAAAAGTGTCGATAGAACTCTCAATAATATGCACAATAAAAAGGAAAAGATCCACTCACCTGGAGTCCACGCTATACTTCTCTAGCGCACGCATCGAGGCGTCCTGAATGATCGGTCCCTGTGGCCAATTATCAAATCACATCTCAGAACTCTTATCCGTAGAATACGTAATTCACATAAAACACAACCTTAACGACATTCAAAAATAGTTTGATACCCATTGACCACAAGTCAACCGTCGATCAAAGATCGACGGTAGGGTTTACAACCCTGTATAACTTGACCCGGAAGATCCGCATATCAGATTTCCAATCTGCAACTCTCAACGATCCACAATATGTTTCTAGAATAACATATTAAAATTTCATTACGATCCAACGGTCAGATTTCCGCCAATTGCCTAAAACAAGTGGCCGTGAACATTTATTTTACTAACTTACAAATCCAATTCAGGAAGATCTGTAAGTCGGATTCCCGATCTGTAAATTCCTATGATCTTTAAATATTATGTATTATAATGTATCCAATTTTGGTGACGATCCAACGGTCGGATCATCGATTCACATTTTTATCAAGTAACGTATCGTAACGAATTTAGGTTCCAACGATCAACCTACGTCATTCAAATGACAAAACTGAATTCAAAACATTCGCCGCCGCACGCGCCGCCGCGGGTGGCGGTCGGCCGCCCCTACTCGCCGGAAAATCCAACTATTTCCAAAAATTTTCAAACTTCACAGAAATGAAGATCTCAGTGAGTGGAGCAACTTTCATACCTACCATGAAGTCCAAAAGTGGACGGAAGATAGTCAATTTTGCCCACGAAGCTGGCGGGTGCCTAAAACTTCCCGACGTCGATTCGTCGTCTACGGTGGTTCAACGGGGTCAAGGTTGGTTGGGTTTTGCTCCTGGGATGATGGGCTACAAAGCCCAAGTGGTGGCATCAGCCATTGCTTTGCCGATTTGCCAGAAAATCGAGAAGGGTGGCCGGAGCACCATTGATTTTCGTCAACTTTCGTGGCCTCAAACCTCCACATCCCATGGTTAATCAAGGTGGTTCTTGGGTGGGTTTTGTAGAGGGGAATGAGAGCTTCAAGATGGTGGTGGTGGCATCGAAAAACTCCATCGGAGTTGGCCGGAATCGGCCTTGGAAAATGGGAACCCGCGGTGGGTGCGGGTGGACGAGAACCCACTCCCCTTTTTTTTTCTTTTCTTTCTTCCATTTCTGATTGGGCTTTTTCCCCACAAGGTGGGGATTTAATTTAAATAAACACTAAACCTTGAATAACCAATTCCGAACGTCCGTAACTATACCATTATAATCCGGACTTGCAAACGGCTTTCGCCTATACGTTCGTACCAATAAGTACTACGAGGATATGCTAAAAGAATAAGTCCCACATCTCACGAGTCGATGGTCAACGGAAGTCAAAGTCCTTGCCTCTAGGGCAATTTTGTAAATTCACGCTTTTAAAATAAAATAAAAACGTAAAATTTGGAACGGGTTGTCACAATAATTCTCGCCTCTCCACATGAAATTTCGAGACAATTGAATCAAAATTTTATACGGAATCTCTACAAATCAATTAAGGGTAATACTAGAGAGACTAAATTTGTACAGTAAATTTTGGAAACTAAAGGACATGGAAGTTGATGATTGGTTTATTACTTGAGCATTAATAAACGTGCTCAATTCTATTCGTGACACATCATTTAGTTTGCAAGTTTAGTCTCCCTAGCATTACTCATCCATTAAATTCCATAAAAATCCATGGATTATAAATCCATTAAAGTCTCTCAAATTCCCAATTGAATACACCCTCTTAATTTATTGAAAATCTATAAAGAAAAGGTCATTACTATGAAAATTTTCAAAATAATCTCTGTTATGAAACATAAAGAGTTGTTGTACTTATTCAACGTATGGTAGTAAACCATCATAAATAATCATACTAATGTAGATAGCCTTGTGGGTTATTATGGAGAACCTTTTGGGTTCCCACACCCCACTTATGTTTTTTTTTTTTTTGAACAAACGATGGTATCAATACTAAAAGGATGGGAGAGTTGAACCTAAAATCTCTCACTTACAACCTAAGACCACTCATGTATTTGATGGCCTATATAAAGATGAAATAATGCTAATGGAAGATGCTTGAGATCTTCTCTTTTCTTTTTCTTTTTTGTTATCTCACTTTATTCTGTATTCTATTTCTAACATGTTATAACACAAAAATGCTCTTTAGTTTTTGCTTCCAAAGAACTGAGATAAGAGAATGGCGCAGAAAACCAAATATGCTTTGAAGAATTATGCTCTCTATGTTTCTTGTTAAGAGGACATAATAGGGATTTATCCAATATTTCTAGATATTTCTTATACCATTTTCCTTTGTTGTAGATTTACTACTGAAGGAAAAGCCAATGCAATTTTTTGTGAGGCTTCGATCATGAATCATTGGTGGTTTGGTA